CCTGTGTCTCTGCTCCACCCCCCCATGAATAAATAAATAAAATCTTTAAAAAAATTTTTTTTGTTGAAAAGATGATACAGAAAAAGCTAGACCAAGATCTCATGGAATGCGATGTGCATAACATATCTGGGGCACAACAATAGAAAAAAAGTCCTACCCTTACGGAAAAGTGGAAAGATGAATGCGAGATTCTAATATGTAGGTTGACAAGGCCAGACCTGAGAGTATCGGTCGGTCCTGTTTTAAATTGAACACAGTGCTCTTTACTAAATGTGTTTATTAGCTACTTGGGTGAGTTCACAGCTGGACCGGCTGTATGATTATGGCCCATTCTTCTCAGAGCAGTTACTGTTGTTCTCAGTCTTCTTCCGGTCCAACAGCTGTCGGTGCATTATCCAGTGAGCTCTGCATCCAGCTCAGTACTGCGAGAGCCTAGGAAAGGAGCTTCCTGGGAGGCTTACCTGTGGGCTGGAGTGGAAGGGCTTCTGGTCTAGTGCGGTCCGGGGGCCCTGACTCCGGAGAAGCTCCCCACTGTTTCAGACTGTCCTAAAGGGTGGTGGTGGGAGCTGTGCATCTGACGATCAGTTGGGGAATTTCATAAGATAATGGCTCTGTCTGTTGTCCTGTTACACAGGCTGGTTCCAGCACCGCTAGCGGCAATGTACTCTCTGCGCTGCACGGGGTCTGGAGGACGCAGGGGCTGTCAGGGTAAGGACAAGAGGGAAGGTGGAACTGCCTTTCCGCCCCTCCCCCGGCTCTTCCTCCCTTAGCCTGAGCGGGATGAACCCCTTTCCTTCCTTCTGGTCGGCCTGGTTGGGTCTCTGTTTACACCACATAAAACATACTCGATGTCGCCTATGTGAGATGCTAGTGCACAGTCAGGTTGACGCAATGTCTAGCCACGTGATTGCCAGACTTGGCCATCTCAGCGTTGGAGGACATCCACGTCCACCCCCCCACCCCCCCAGGTTCTGGGCTGCAGCTCTGAGCAAACAGGCTTCCAGTTACGTAATTTAGGAATGCAAGGGAGCCAGGGTGACATTTAGAGGAAAGCGCTTGTGGTTGGGGAGACTTAGGACTGTTATCAGTAACAGCTATTTTCCCTGTACCACCGAGTGCGTGGTCTTGCTTAGAACCCACTCTGTGCTTTCCTCAGCGCCGCAGACTTCTAGCATCATGTCTTCAAACGCCTGCTTTTCAAAACGTGCTTTCCACGTTGCTTTTACAATCTATAAAGAGATCCAAGTGTTGGGTCTACAGGTGTGCGAAATTACACCGTTCTCTTTGGAATGGCCTACGAGTGATTTTCCTGAGAGAGCAAAGCCTCAGCCTCCTCCTGGAGGGCCAGGAGTGAGCGTTGTGGCAGGATTTGGCTGGTGGGGAGAGCAAAGCTGAGGCACTGCCACCTCCTCGTCCAGGTGCCATGTTGGTGATTTGATTATAGTGTTGTGTGCACTTGCCAGGTTTTTCTTCCAGCTGGCTGATAGTTGGGGAACATGAGGCATATTGATCAGGACCCGGGTAAGGTTTTTGCAGGAGAATGGCCTCATTTTCTATTCAAAATTTCCAACTGGTAGTTTGAAAAGTAGGTCGTGTCAGGTGGTTTTGTTGAATGGGCCACCTGTGAAGGACTGCTGCTGGTTGATGATGGACTTAAGGATTTTGAGACAAGAAGAGGGTTTAATGGGAAGGAGTATTTGAGCATGCGCAAGGGAACGGCGGAGTGGGAGCACGTGCACCGCAAGTCAGCCACTTGCAGCTAACTTGGCGCAAGCTGGTGGCTCGTAGCTCAGACACATGGATTTTGACGCAGATCTCCCATTGAACGGTGAAATGGTGTGAGAGAAGAGAGAGCTCGAAGGCCACTCTTTAGTAGCAGGTGAAAGATTCTCAGTGTTTCCAGCAGGTTTGGGGACACGGACATGTTGCCTGCAGCAGCTTTTTTAGACCATAAAGTCCGTATGCTGAATTTCGCCGCCCGATCTGCTTCACTGTTGCTCATGTTTGATTTTATGGCAACTACGGGTCAGACCTCTGCTCTTGACTCAGCTCTGTGGACTTGGTATGGAGCTGCAGGGCATCTGCCTTCCTTGAGACCGCGGCCAGAGGCGGGTACGGCAGGGTGGGCAGCGCCCCGGGCACCGAGAGCTTGCCGAGGCCTTCCCTCGGGGAGCTGATGGCAACGGAACCCTCCCTCTCCTAGCTGGGCTGCGTGCTCGGTGTTGAGTAACTGGGCCGCGCCAGAATGAGAGGCAGAGGCCAGGGTGTCCCCAGTGTCAGCCCTGCAAAGGTGATGTGGAAATCTGCCTCTCCCGCTGGGGCTCTCAGTAGTACACGGGGCTGTCCTTAGTGTTCCAAGCAGCCGCACTTGTCCCTTAAGAGATGCTCCTTTCCACCAGCTTCCTACTGAGAGGATCAGAGGCACCAACTAACTTGACCAAAGGATTGTAACCTAAAGCAAGCAAAACAAAAAGATCCCTGCCGGCTTGGGCCCCTGCTCTACCCCCCAGCCCTGGGCATCCAGGGCCCGAAGCCTCCCGGCCGGGCTGGCCTGGCCGCCTGTCTGCCTCCCACACGGCCCCTGCCGCCCCTCCTCCAGCCCTGAGCACACCTGCCCCGCGGGAGCAGCCTCCTCCCCCCGCAGGGACCCGTGCTGGCCTCCCGGGCAAGTGGGGACGCTTCGGTGGTGCCTGGTGGTCCACGGGGCAGACCACGTGCTGGCACCGGCTGGGCTCTCCGCTCTGCGGCAGACGGGCTTCTCCCAAATAGAAACACCACTCGCTCCTCCAGTCCACCAGCCGGAAAGCGGAGGGCGAAGCCCGTTGGGCCTGCATCGCTCCTGGCCCCTTGCCCCCAGGCTGGCCTGCCCCGTTTCCGGACCGCGCCCTCCGTGTAACGCTCGCGGCCGCCCCGTGCTCGGTGCCCCCGCTCGGTGCCCGCCGGGGTCCGCCAGCACAGCCCCAGCCCCAGCCCCGCTCTGCTCAAGCGTCGGCCCCCTCGCTGGTTGGGGCGCTTGCTCTACAAATGACTCTGCTCTAAGGCTATAATTATGTTAATAGAGTCAGGTGTCGTCTAGTGAAGCCATAAACTGCTTCCATCTGCCTGGTGCCAGGAGCAGCCAGGAGCAAGCAGCAGGGCTGAACCCAGACAGGCCTCTCGGGAGGGAGGGAGGCTTTCGTGGCAGAGGCGCCCCCTGTCCCGGCCCCTGCAGGCCTCCCGCCTGGCCCCCTTCTCTGTAGGTCGGGCAGGAGGGTCCCAGGGGCCTCGAAGCCGTAACTGAGGAGTTTCTGTCCTCACCGAACACCTCACGCAGAAACCGTGCCTGACGCTGAGCCGGCTTTTCTCCTTGTATCGCTTCCGTGGCTACTTCTAGACAAGAACAAGAGATTCTCGTCTGTAGTATTTCACTTAATGACTTCAATCGTAAGGGCCCCCCAACACGAAGTCCGTTCTCCTCAGAAACGCTCAGGAGGCGCGCTGACCTGTGCCAGCAGGCCTGCCGAAACCGGGCCGCGGGGTCCCTCTCCGCCCACGTTCTTGGCCAGTCCCTACTTAGCTTACTGGGGATGTTCCTCCTCTTAGGGGTGATGTCCTTTTCCGAAAACCTGACCGTTTACACTTGCCTTCCCTAGACCTCACCCAAAGCGTCCTCACTACAAAGCCCTTTAGTTCTGATTTTCTCTGCTTACAGAAGTCACACTCTTGGTAAAAAGGCTCAGTTATTCTAGAAAGACAGGGAATGTTTCCTGTCATCCTGGCCCCCCGGAGAAAGTTGAGGACACATCCTTGCCGTGACCAGGGGCACAGCTTGGGGACTGGACTTTTGTCAGAGCCTGCTGTGGGAATCTGTGTCGGTTCCTGGGGGCCGCCTCGGGCGGGGCCTCTGCAGTTTCTCTGGTTAGCGGCAGGGCCGTGACGAACCCCTTCGAACAAATACCTGTGCACAGCCACGGGGTGGTTTTTCGAGAGTGAACCTCCAGTTTGCATCCCCAGTAATATTGTTCTTTTACTCTGCCTTTGATTATTCGCACCTCTGACCGGCCTCATGCGGTGCGTGGGGACTGAACCTTCGAGAGGCTCTGCCTGGGTCGTTGGCCCTTCTGGTCCTTCCCCAGAGGAGAAGACAACTAGGGAATGCATGGAGACTCACTTCCCTGGTCTAGCATCACATCCGGGGGCCTCTCGGGTCAGGACAAAATGCAACTGAGTCACTGGGAGGAGCGGCAGATTTGCGGGAAAATCTCCAACACACAGAGCCTACCTTCATCCCCAGGGTGGGCCGAGGCCACCCCACGGTTTAGGCCTGTGACTCCACTCCCAGGGTCCCGTTCCTCATCTCCCAGGGACACAGCCGGTCTGCAAGTTTTCAACGGGACTGTTGTGGAGACAGAGTTTTTCTTAACCAATTACTAGACTTAATTGTGAGGCTCCCAAGTAAGAGGTTTGGTATTTAGCCACGTTGGCTAACAAGCAGCTGGGACCCAACTTCAGCGAGTCTGCTTGGGAATGTAATTCAGCGCCATTCTGAGAGCAAAAGCACACGCTCTAAGTGCCGTGTGGGGTCTAATGGGCATGGTGTGCTGAGCTGTGCAAGCTGTGGGTGTTGGAATTTAACCTTTTTTACACACACCAATTTAAAAAAAGTCTTTTCCTTCTGCTTTTTTCCTCCCCTGGATTATTTGCAGGTGTCTTCCCTCGAACGGCAGCCATCGGTCTGGGAGGTTTCATCTTTCTTGGTGCTTATGAGCAAACCCGCAGCTTGCTGTTGGAACTTGGCAGGGCGAGCCCCTGACTCCAGGACGGTGCCCCATGCTCTGCTCTCAGGGAAGGGGACACCGTGCGAGCAGCTGCAGTCGCCAGGCTCCGGTGTGCGAGGACCGGAGCCCCGGCCCTGGTGGTGCCCTCCTCTCAGACCCCCGTAATAAATCCATGTGGTGATGCTGCCCAGAGCCTTCATTGGATCTGTAGCTGTCCTGCCTCTCCTGCCCCGTGCTAGCGGACACCGAGGGAGGCACAGACGCTTCTCATTGGGTCGTGGTGGGCGGGGGTGGGGCGGGGGTGGGAGCTCGACAGGGAGCAGGAAAGTGGTGCCCGACACTGGGTGTCTCCCTGTGGTGAAGCTTCGGGCTCCGTTTAAAAACAATGAACTGCAGGTGCAAGCAGGCATTCTTCTGGCAGCCAGGCTGCTGTTCCTAATTACCCTCAGATGTCCCCTAAAGAACACGACTGTATTATTTTACAGAGAAGTGTCCAGCAGCCCGCGTGGTGTGAGACAGAGCCAGCAGTTGCAGCCCAGGGCTGGGAGGGCGTGGTGGGCCCACTGAGGACCTGAGTCCCGCTTCTCCCCGGGAGCCCCAAAGGAGGGGCCTGGGCCAGCGGGGAGACAGCACCATTTCTCCACGCCTGGTCAGGTCTGTTGCACAGTACTGGAAATTAGAAGGGACGAAATGGGGGAGGTCACCATTTCAGAGCTTGACTAATAAGCTCCAGGTGTTTGTTAGAAATCTCAGGAATCCAGGGGTGGTGTATCTTCCCCGGAGCAAACAAGTATATGATTTTGCTTGCCGAGAAGAAGTTTTCCCCTTTTCGGGAAAACAGATAATTAAAGGCAGAATGTAAGGGAGTTTTTGGAACAGAACGGGGTGAAACAGTGCCGCTTACAGCGTAGGTAAGAAGAATGCCCCAGCCACACAATCAGCATTTATAAATGAACCTTTATTAAAGACACTTCAACGCCGTTTGTTAGACACTTCAATATTTTACATGTTTTTCAATGTACACTGTACCAAAATTTCTATAAATAAACAACTTTGTACATAAAAGTAATACTTCCTCTTTCACATTGCCTCTCAGAAGCAGCAAATTCACATATTTTGTGGAAGTAACAATCAGTTGACTGTTGAGAACACAAGTCTGAATGTGCTTACCTTTTAGAACAGTGATGACACCGGACAGTAAAATATAACAACCATTTTGTCAGTCTCTACCTTCAGCTTTTTGGCTAAAGGAACTTGCTTTCTGAGATTTTAAGGACCTTGTTTCAATGCAGTTTTTCCTGAAATACACATTGGCACTCACAAGATGGTTGGCTACCGGTCTCCAAAGTGCAAATAGGCCCAGGTCAAGGGCTTCTTAAGCTTGTACAGTCCCAGCCCGGGTCTGTCGGTGGGAGGGAAGGACGTGGAGAGAACAGGCTCCGGATCCTCAGTAGAGATAAGCTAGCCCTGAAAAGTAAGGACTCGATCCTTTTTCTCCCCCATGATCAATGTCATATTAATTATATTGGCAGAACTAAAACATCACTATTGAAAAATCCACAGGTACCAACACCAGCAGCCTCTACCTTAATAAAAAGCCTCGAATGACAATCGAATGATCGGGATGACAACCACATTTGCTTTTCTCATAGAAGAAAGGCAGGTGGTGCTTAATTGCTTGGAACAAATGCCTCGTGGCAGATTAACTACCCCCATCCTGCTTGGCAAGAACTTAAGCTTTCAAGAAAGTCACGTATGGCAGAGGTACAGGACGACATGGGCATCTCTGGACTCTGCAGGGAGGTGAACTGCAAGAGCAGCCACACGTGAGCAATACTGACAGGAAGTGAGTTCCAACGCACACGAAGGCTCGGGCCGTACAGCCTCCCACGGGGCTGGCCTATGAAGTGCAATACAAACCCAAGGACTTCCCCTCCCCACCCGCCAGATACTCCTAGGAGCAGATGTGGTTTTTAGCTTCTACAACTTCCATCCGTGCATTAAGGCACCAGAACTATTATTCCCTGCCCCCCTTCCAAAATTAAACAGCAACCTGATATGAAAAATAATATTGTCAAAATTGTACTTTTTTTTTCTGTTAACCATGCACTAAAGATTAAAATAGCCTCTGCAAAAGATATATAATATATAGGAAATCTCTGAAAACTCTTACGTACAATGGTATCAAATACTTTTCTGCTTTTGTACACAATAGCCTCTGGCGGTTCTGTGCTTCAGCTGCAAGTCCTTTAGACCACGGACACTCCACATGGAAGTTTAAAAACTCTGTACACATCAGTGACGCTTGAACTCAAGCTTCCTTACAGCCTCTCCTACCTCTTTCCTGTAGAGACGGACACAAGAGCTGAGGTAGACAAAGCCTAGCTTTTCGGTGCAAAGAGCAGGGGTACTCCCCGTTGCCCGGGGAGCTGTCCTGTCAGCGGTAGGGACTCGGGACTGGAGTCACACGCTTGGGGGAGGTGTCTGTTGGAAAGAAGCAAGTGCTGGCCTTCACTGGGGACGTCAGGAAAGCCTGAGGAGGCTTCTGGGAGCTCGGGACTGCCTGGAGTTAATGTCGAGGGAGGCTGGAGGTCTATGGAGTCTGGCTCACACAGCCTCGCTAGAGTCCCAGAGGAGGCCCCTGTGAGAAAGGAGAGGGCACGTCAGAGCCTCCCGTCTGGCTGCTTACCGACCCCCTCCCCGCCCCCACCTGCAGGTGCCTCCTTGGAAGACCATGAGCATCTACCTTTCCCATCTACAGGTGCCACTGGCTTTTTCTTCAAGGGTGTCAGCATTCTGTCGTGGTTACTGGGATAGAGGGACCCCTTGCAGTCGGCGCGGGACCTGTCAGCAGTCCCACTGGTCACATGATGCGGAGAACGTTCTCGGTCCGTCTGACTGGGCTCCTGGCTGCTTAGTGTACCTGGCTGTGTGCCGTCTCTGGTCACAGGCTGAGGATAGAAAGCTTGTTCCTTGGAGTAACCGTCCGAGTCAGTGTTACAGTCACCGCACGCAGCCGGGCCACTGTGCTCTGCAGGGACGGAGATGGATTAGAGCCATGGCCACCAAGGTCTGCATCCCCACCCGGAACAGGGAGCTCCAGGGGCCTGCACAGACCAACTCTAAAAACTCCCCTCTTCCCCCAAGTGTTGCATCAGCCCAGAGAAAGGACTGGGCTGATACCGAGCCATTAGTGAAGAATGGGCCCTCCATGTTTCAGCATTTCAGATTAATTGCTTCATGAGAGAAAGTGGTCCTACTGCTCTGATCACAGAGAAGAGAAAAAAAAATCCCACTGCATGACATCCCTGTGGTGTCAGGAGTCTTTGGAATAATTAGACAAATAGCCTCAAAAACAGCCCTGGTGAAAAGATACTTTGATTTGGGCCTTGCCCCTTATTTAATTTGCCTATAAATCTGGAAAGTTCAAGCCCAGGCTCACCACAGCACAGATTTATTTAGGAGACATGCTACTTCAGATTACAAGAGCCAGGCCACAGCTTCCTGTTTATGCACTGAATACCAAATTCTGAGCTAGTCTTAGACCGGGAATGCATCCCTCTCACTGAATGAACAGGTCTACTTGAATTTTAATTTCAAGAACTGAAGACTGGAGGGGAGGGGCAAGATGGCGGAAGAGCAGGGTCCCCGAGTCACCTGTCCCCACCAAATTACCTAGATAACCTTCAAACCATCCTGAAAATTTACGAATTCGGCCTGAGATGTAAAGAGAGACCAGCTGGAATGCTACAGTGAGAAGAGTCCGCGCTTCTATCAAGGTAGGAAGACGGGGAAAGAGAAATAAAGGAACAAAAGGCCTCCGAGGGGGAGGGGCCCGCGAGGAGCCGGGCTGAGGCCGGGGCGAGTGTCCCCAGGACAGGAGAGCCCCGTCCCGGAGGAGCAGGAGCTGCACCAACCTTCCCGGGCGGGCGGAAAGGGGCTCGCAGGGAGTTGGAGCAGGACCCAGGAGAGCGGGGATGCCCTCGGGCTCCCGGGGACACTAACAGACACCTGCGAGCGCAGGGGAGTGCTCCGAGCTCCCTAAGGGCTGCAGCGCGCACGGCGGGACCGACCGGAGCAGCTCGGAGGGGCTCGGGAGCGGCTCCAGGGAGGGAGCTGTGGGGCGGGAGCGCGAATCCACCAGCGCAGGCCCCGGAGCACAGGGCGCCGGGACACAGCCCAGGATCCGGCCTCCCCCGGGACAGGCAGAGGCCGGGAGGGCCCAGGACAGCGAGGACGCTCCTGCCCCGAGCTGAGCAGATCAGCGGCCCCGCCCCGGAGCCTCCAGGCCCTGCGGACGGAGAGCCGAGAGCCCCGAGCCCCGTAGTTCCTGCGGAGGCTGAATCCAGGCTTCCAGAGTTGCCATAGCAACTGCGACTGTTCCTCCTGGGGCCCCATGGGGTAAACAACCCCCGCTGAGCCCTGCAGCAGGCAGGGGCAGAGCAGCTCCCCCAAGTGCTAACACCTGAAAATCAGCACAGCAGGCCCCTCCCCCAGAAGACCAGCTGGACGGACCAGTGATACTCCCCCGTGTTCCAATACAACTTGTTTCTGGCCACTCTGCACTGAGCAAAATGACTAGAAGGAAAACCTCACCTCAAAAGAAAGAATCAGAAACAGCCCTCTCTCCCACAGAGTTACAAAATCTGGATTACACTTCAATGTCAGAGAGCCAATTCAGAAGCACTATTCTACAGCTACTGGTGGCTCTAGAAAAAAGCATTAAGGACTCACGAGACTTCATGACTGCAGAATTTAGATCCAATCAGGCAGAAATTAAAAATCAATTGAATGAGATGCAATCCAAACTAGAAGTCCTAAGACGAGGGTTAACGAGGTGGAAGAACGAGTGAGTGACATAGAAGACAAGTTAATGGCAAAGAGGGAAACTGAGGAAAAAAGAGACAATCAATTAAGGGACCATGAAGACAGATTAAGGCAAATAAATGACACTCTAAGGAAGAAAAACCTACGTTTAATTGGGGTTCCCGAGGGCGCCGAAAGGGACAGAGGGCCAGAATATGTATTTGAACAAATCCTAGCTGAAAACTTTCCCAATCTGGGAAGGGAAACAGGCATTCAGATCCAGGAAATAGAGAGATCCCCCCCTAAAATCAATAAAAACCGTTCAACACCTCGACATCTAATAGTGAAGCTTGCAAATTCCAAAGATAAAGAGAAGATCC